AATCATAACCTGCCTTGGTTCGTCTTTCTTTTGAACGCAGAGCAGGACCTAGTTCACACTTATGGTTAGCGCAAGTGGAGAATCCACAAAAGGATTATACGTGTCGATTAGTCTGCGATCATCTTCGTGGGCGGAGTCAATCGACTCGAATCTAAACTTCGCGATTCGTCGATTCCAATGTCTCATGGTGTGAAAGCCAAGCAGCACACACAAGAGAGTTTTCCAAGTATTGCTCTCACTAACCGAGGAGAAATGCTTTCGCAATCAGATACCAGTGCGGCGGAGTTCTTGATGATAGACTTTTAGAGAACCGCTCATGGGCAAAATATATGAACTTGACAAAATCAAGAATATGAATATTCAAAGGACACCAACCGGTGGAATTATAGCCCGTATTCAAACCAAGGATGGGAAGAAGGTAGGTCCCCTTCTATAATACCTAACTGACTCGCGACTTTATAGAGCCTTACAGTCTCGCTTGCTCCGCATGGACGGCTGTGGACAAAGTGGGCCGGCCGTGCGTGTCGTTTTCGCCGGCGTCTGATTTCCTTGCCAGGTTCTTAGCAGTAGTGGAAGTCCAACTGCCATATTTATAGAAAACAGAGCTTCTGGTTAGCCCCTCATAAGGTGAAAAAACCGGGCGTGCCAAGTCCTAAAAGTCAATTTGTACAATCATTCTTGCAAACGATAGGGGCATGTGACTAGGAATGTATTGGAGAGCTGCCAAGGCGGCCTTTCCATCAGTGGCGATGCTACTGATTAGGGCGCAAGTTGAAGTTGTCCCCTGACTATGAAATAATGGCAGTAGGTCTGGGTGACATCAAATTCAAGTTGCCCGTCCTAAGCAAATCGGAGAATCGACAAAGGGGAAGGTAAGTAAGTAGTAAGTAAGTAAAGGGGATAAGCTAAGTAATAATTAAGTAAAGTAGATAGCTGGGTACAACCGGCATGCTAACTGATTCAACCTCCCAGTCGTCTTGCCCTTCATTACGTTCAACACAAAGGTAAGGTCCACCAGCTATCCACGAATCAGTGAGGTAGGTATAGATCATAATTAAATTCCATCAGGGCTGAAAGAGGAAAGAAGGCGCGTTCTGACTCAAGCCCGTGCGCTGAGCGGTTCTGCCTCTGTTCGCTCATGCTCACTGGTGAAGTCAACGAAGCATTCATCTTGGGGCATTTCGTACGAGTTGGCACTTGTCTGAGTGACAATGATATGCAATAGAAAGCTGGGTTTTCAACTGTATTACAGCCTCGTCTCTTTAGGTGAAGTTGCGATTAACGGGAGAAGATGCAAGTGCATGGGCTGCTAAGTTTATCCAGTAAGTATGCTATTACTTTTTTTTCAACGAATTTAAGTGAGAGCTGACAATAGTAGAAAAAGGGGACATTCGAAGGGACTCTATGCAAGGCTGGATGCAGCTAAATGTACAGTAAGCAGTTACAGTAACCCGTCCATATCACGGTAGTCCTCTATGTGCACAAAAAATCGTTTAATTGCGTGCCTCAGGCTATTAGCGTGCAAACCGTGGTGGTTAATTTCAGTGTAAAATTTGCTGAAGTTTTCGGTAATGTCGGCTTCTAAAAAGCCTTTGCATAATACGTAGCAATTGCAGTGCCCAAGCGGCGTCGGCAGGACATCACTCACATCCCAATCAGAACTTCATACCAGCGGTACCTGGAATTCAAAGAAGTGATAGCCTGGAAACGTCCAGCGAGGATTCCGCACTAGCAATGTCGTGAGTTTGTGAAGCCATTCGTAGTACCCTCCGTTGTACAAGTAGTTTGCCTGCGGTCTTTGATATTGTCTCCCTCCCGCAGCTTCACAGGAACTACAGTCTTTAAAAGTTTCACTTCTAAGCCTCCTTAATTGCCTCAGGACAAATGCTTGAAAAATCGTCAGTCAGAGGGCAGTATGGCTTGAATTAACCATAGGACTCGACCCTATCTGAACCGTTCGTGGAACAACTGGCATACTGCCTACGAAATGTGAAGTGTGAAGAGCTACTTATATGAGTTGTAACCAGCGAAATTCTTGATGCTCCATGTAACTCCCAAATTAGTAGGAAATTATTGCTACTGCTGAAAGCCATGAAATCAATCTTGCCCATTTGAATGACGTAAAATGAGTGCTCGTCTCCATAAATTTGGAGCTAACAATTCTCATCTGATTA